CCCAACCAAAAAAAAGCCCAGGACCAGATGGTTTCAGCTCAGAATTCAAAAGATTTTCAAAGAAGAATACCAATACTCCTCAAATTGTTCCACACAATAGAAACAGAAGGAACATTGCCAAACTTTTTATGAGGCTACAATTACCCTGACACCCAAACCACATGAAGACATTACTAAGAAAGAGAATTACAGACCAATCTCGCTCATGAACATTGATGCAAAAATACTAAATAAAATACTGGCAAATCGAATTCAAGAACACATCAGAACCATCATCCACCATGATCAAGTCAGCTCCATCCCAGAGATGCAGGGATGGTTCAACATATGAAAATCTGTCAATGTAATCCACTGATGTGGGAGTGTCATATATCAATCTGTTGATTTCATTGGTTAAGTAATAAACCAACTGCTTGGCCTCATAGCTTAGAACATAGATGGGAGGAGAAAACAGAATAGAATTCTGGGCGGAAGAGGAAGTGAAGTCAGACTCTGCTCTGCTCCTGAAGAGACGCCATGCTCAGCTCTCCCGGGTAGACGCGATAGCTCTGCTCTCTGAGGCACACGCGATGAAGATGGACATAGGCTAGAATCTTCCTGGTAAGCGCACCTTGGGGTGATTATACGCATTATTAGAAATGGGCTAGTCCAGGTGCGAGAATTAGCCTGTAAGGGCTAGAGTTCATGGGCCAAGCAGTTCTTAAATGAATACAGTTTGTGTGTTGTTATTTTGGGCGTGAGCTAGCCAAGCAGCCGGGGTGTTGGGGACGCAGCCCTGCCACCGCTTCCTATTTCAACAATCCACCATATAAATAAACTGAAAAATAAAAACCACATTATCATCTCATTAGATGATGAAAAAGCTTTCGACAAAATACAACACCCCTTCATGATAAAGTCTTGGAGACAGCAGGGATACAAGAAACATACCTAAACATAATAAAGGCAATATACAGCAAGCCAACAGCCAACATCAAACTAAATGGAGAGAAACTCACAGCAATCCCACTGAAGGCAGGAACGAGACAAAGTTGCCAACTCTCCCCATATCTATTCAATATAGTTCTTGAGGTCCTAGCCAGAGCAATAAGATAACAAAAGGAGATCAAGGGGATACAAATAGAAAAAGAAGTCAAACTCTCACTATTTGCTGATGATATAACAGTTTACATAAGCGAGCCCACAAATTCTACCAAAAACTTCTACAAATCATAAACACTTTCAGTAATGTAGCAGGATACAAGATTAACTCAAAAAAATTAATAGCCCTCCTTTACACAGAAGATAAATGGTTTGAGAAAGAAATCAGAAAAACCCTTCACAATAGCCACAAATAGCACAAAATATCTCAGAGTAACTCTAACCAAACAAATGGAAAACTTGTATGACAAGAACTTTAAATCTTTGAAGAAAAAAATTGAAAAAGACACCAGAAAGTGGAAAGATCTCCCATGCTCTTGGGTAGGTAGTATTAACATAGGAAAAACGGTAATCTTACCAAAAGCAATCTACAGATTCAATGCAATTCCCATCAAAATCCCAGCAAAATTCTTCACAGACTTTGAAAGACTATATGGATAGCCTAAACAATCCTGTACAATAAAAGAACATCGGGAGGCATCACAATCCCTGACTTCAAACTCTACTACAGAACTACAGTATTAAAAACAGCCTGGTATTGGCATAAGAACAGACAGTAGGACCAATGGAACAGAACAGAAGACCTAGATATTAATCCACACACCTTTGAACACCTGATTTTTGACAAAGAAGCAAAAAAAAATATCAAATGGAAAAAAGAAAGCATATTTAACAAATGGTTCTGGCATAACTGGATATCAACATGTAGAAGAATGAAAATAGATCCGTATCTATCACCATGAACAAAACACAAGTTCAAATGGATCAAAGACTTCAACATAAAGCCAGCCACACTGAACCTCTCAGAACAAGTGTACTTAGTGAATACACTTGAACACGTTGGCACAGGAGACCACTTCCTACATATAACCCCATCAGCACAAACACTGAGAGAAACAATTAATAAATGGAACATCTTTAGTCATCAGAGAAATGCAAATCCAAACAACAATTCCATCTTACACCTGTAAGAATGGCCAAGAGCAAAAAAACTGATGACAACTTATGCTGGAGAGGTTGTGGGGTAAAAGGAACACTCCTCCATTGCTGGTGGGAATGCAAACTTGTACAGCTGATTTGGATATCAGTATGGCGATTTCTCAGAAAATTAGGAAACAACCTTTCTCAAGACCCAGCAATACCACTTTTGGGTATATATCCAAAGAATACTCAATCACACCCACAAGGACATGTGCTCAACCATGTTCATAGCAGCATTGTTTGTCATAGCCAGAACCTGGAAACAACCTAAATTCCCCTAGGCCAAGGAATGACTAAAAAAAATGTAGTACATTTACACAATGGAGTACTACACAGCAGAAAAAAATAATGACATCTTTAATTTGCAGGCAAATGGATGGAGCTAGAAAACATCATTTTAAGTGAGGTATCCCAGACTCAGAAAGACAATTATCATATTACTCACTCATAAGTGGTTTGTAAACATAAAGCAAAGAAAACTAGCCTACAAATCACAATCCCAGAAAACCTAGATAACAATGAGGACCGTAAGAGAGACATACAAGGATCTAATCTACATGGGAAGTAGAAGAAGACCAGATCTCCTGAGTAAACTGGGAGCATGAGGACCATGGGAGAGGGTTGAAGGGGAGGGGAGAGGAAAGAGGGGGCAGAGAAAAATGTATAGCTCAATAAAATCAATTAAAAAAAAAAACAAGTTAAAAAATTTAATCCCACCGTGAATATATAGATTCTATTGTCAACTATTAGAAAAATAATGTAGCAGCAGGCATCCTCTTCAAACTTAACCAATGTGCCACTATCTGAGGAATGACTACCTCTCCCACCATGACTATGTCATCCGCCAGAAGGGCAAAATTTAATTTTCTTACCTGTCTCAGCACTTATGAGACCTGAGGAACAACATCTGAAGTTGACTTCCAGCCTCCACACACAGAAATACATGAACCACACATGCACACTAAACATTTGTTTCATAATTTATTGTTTCTATTTTAAATACAATTTCCTTGTCACTTATTCTAGATCTTTCAACAGCCAGTTCTCTAAATTTAGTCATACTAAAGCCTAAAGAACAAGTTGGGCTTTAATTTAAAGTCCTTAAAGATACAAATATATACATTTTCATGTACCTGCTAGAACAACCTGAACATTCTTGCTCCTATCATTTCTCATATTTCTCAGATGATCCCTATAAAGTCTCAGGAGTGTGTCTCAGTTAGATCTAATGACATTGTAATCATTGATGTAATGGAGACATGTTACCCAACACTAACTACCAGCCCTAACTCCAAGCATGAATGCTCTGCAGACTCTACAGGAATCTAAGAGTTGGAATTCCACAGCCATATCACCACCCTATATGTTACCAAAAAGGTAGCAGCTGTTAGTTAAAACATCTCCAGTCCAAGTCCAGGGGAGGAAAGAGAGGGTGTTAATGCTGTGAATCCTTCATTTATTCCCGCTCAGAATTTAATCATATTTTTGTCTTTCATATGTTTTGTGGCATTGGGGATCAAGTACAGGGCTTTGCATAATTGAAAGACAGGACTACCCACTTAGCTCTACCCCACAAAATGCTTCATAGAAAACACTTAGCATCTTAACCATATTTCTTACTATTCTATCAGTATTTTTTCAGTCATTATTATAAAACTGTGTGTGCCATGATGGAATAAAAAGAGCTGTTCAATGCAATGAAGAAAAGCAAAAAGGTTCCTGGCTGAAGCACACTGACTGGCCTGCAGCTCCACTGAGTCTAGGTAATGGGGCTAATGAGACCTGTAGGTAGCAGGCAGGTAAAATAGTCACATAAACTGAGAAGCCACTAAAACTACCAGATCTGAGTTGTCCTCCTTAAGAAGTTTGCTCAAGATAGTATTAGTAACCATATATGAGTTCAGATTCTTGTCAAAAAGCAAATGTGATACAATCTTTCCTTATCTGTCCAACTGCCATAGTGATTCCCATCAGTCATTAAGTAATTAACTCTTCTGGACTTCCCAATTCTTTTAAGAACTTCATTAGCAAACAGAGTAGGATAAAGTAAGCTTTAAGATGCAGAGAATTCAGTGAACACACCCATTTGCTCAGGGAAAGAAAGTACAGTTGAATTTTAATTTACATCTAACACTGGGTTATTATCAAAGCAAACAAGGGAAGTGGCAAAGAAGCTGGCTCGTCCATGCAAAATTAGTGTTAGTCCAGATAAAGTTAACACAGCACTGTTCTACTTCTTTCCACAATACAAATAGCTTCTTCTGACCCATTAAATACCTCCTGTCTCAGTGACTGTTCTACTGCTGTGAAGAGACCATGGCCTAGGCAACTCTTATACATGAAAGCAAGCAAACTCTTTAAAAAAAAAAAAAGATTTACTAGTTGTTCAGGAGTTTAGTTTATTACCATCGTGGCAGGGAACATGGCAGCACTCATGAAGCTACAGCAGGAGTTGAAAGCTACATCCTGATCTGAAATTACAGGAGAGTGGTAGAGGTAGACAGACAGACGGGGCCTGCCACGGGCTTTTGAAACCTCAAAGCCCACCACCATTGATACACTTACTCCAACAAGGCCACATCTACCCCAGCAAGGCCACACCTCTTTATCGTTCTCAAATAGTGCTACCCCATGATGACTAAGCATTAAAACATATGAGCCTTCATATTCAAATCACCACATCTTCCATGTTTAAAACATCAAGATGTAAATAAGACTTTTATTTCTTAGTAGACACAATTAAGCACTTCTTGTTACCCATAAGTATATTCCATGAATGGATTTCTTTTTGAAAAGGTTAGACTATGAAAAAATGTCTTTTCACTTAATGTGACTTTTAGTTGGATTTAGCAAATAAAAAAATTTTTTAAAAAATTAGGGTGCTCTCTTCAGCAGCACATATACTAAAATTGGAACGATACAGAGATTAGCATGGCCCCTGCACAAGGATGACAAGCAAATTCGTGAAGTGTTTATAAAAAAAAATTAGGGCATAGAACCTTTGATTCACGATTAGGCCAGGGTGTTGAGACCCTGTCTCAAATCATCATTATCATCACCACCTATTATTTCTACCACATAACCTGTGTATATATGTCTACTCTCTCAGAGTATATGGTTCTTCAAAGGGACCTCTAGATTAATTTCGCTTCAAAGTCTCCAGCAGTCAGACACTGGTACAGATGGGTTTCAGTCATGCAGAGTATTGTTATCAGGGTCACTCTGAAGGGGAGATATGCTTGTCTACACTTAGTCCTCACTTCAGGTTAATGTTTGCTTGGTAGTCCCACCTGATAAGACCAATATCAAGATGACAGCCACAAGCTTCAGGTGGTATAGCCTACCCATCTGGACATTTTTTTTGGATTTGGGAAACACAGGAAACCAAGTAGTGAGAATATCACACCGTGTTTGAAAAGCACCACCCTAAATTTCTAAGCAAACCTGAAAAGCTTTGAACAATAACGCAACTGAGACTGGCCTCTGGAGCCCTTCCACATCACTTCTACTCTCCTCCACTCAGCCACAAAAGTTCTGTCCAACATCTCTTTACTGTCAGTGAGAGCAACTGGCACATGAAGGAAAACTCTGTAACGTGAGAGAATCCCATTTAAATGCTTTCCTTCTTCAAAAATAGCATAGGCTTAAATGTAGCAACCATTAGGAATCTTCCTTCTAGTAACAAAAGTAATTTTCAGGGAGAATCTGGGTTCTAACAACTTCCAGTGTGAAGATAAGTAAGCAATATCTCTTGTGATAGTATGTAAAGAGAGAACAAATGGACCTGACTGCCCATAGACCACAGATACATTTCTGGAGCTTTAGCACAGAAGTGTTTTTGTTCCAAGGAGGACTGTATACTGGCATTTTATCATGGACCTCAGAGAAAGTGATGAATATACTAGGCACCAGTCTCTAGAGCTTAGGGGCCAGCTCTACAAAAATGTCTTCTGTCAACTCACTTCATCTATATCAATCTAAATAAACTATCCTAATACCAAAAAGCAGTAAATGTGTTCATTTAAGTAAACTATACTAATACCAAAAAGCAGTAAATGTGTTCATTTTGTTTCATAAGAAAAGCTCAGCTGAGGTCAGTAATTTCTAAATGACAAAATTTTAGTCGTTAGTTGCGGGACTTTTACTACAAAAAAATACAGAATTAAAAATGTAGAGCTGGAGAGATGGCTCAGAGGTTAAGAGCACTGACTGCTCTTCCAAAGGTCCTGAGTTCAATTCCCAGCAACCACATGGTGGCTCAAAACCATCTATAATGAGATCTGGTGCCCTTCTCTGACAAGCAAGCATACATGCAAGGAATGTTGTATACATAATAAATAAATCTTTAAAAAAAAAAATGTAATCAGCCAAGGCTGGAGAGATGACTCAGCGCAGTAAAGAGGATTTACTGCTCTTGCACAGAACTAAGCTTCAGTTCCCAGCACCTACCCACATCAGGCAGCTCACAGTCACCTCTAACTCCAGTTCCAGGGGCTCCAACGCCCTCTTCTGGCTTGGAGGATTCTGTATGTGTATGATACACACAGACAGATAAGTAGGTATAGAGACATAACGTAAATAAATAAATATTTAAGAAATAATTTTAAGCCTTTATTTAAACATGAAAAATTAGCCCTTTCTCCACCACTTCTTTCTTGGTTCTCTACATTCCATTAATAAAGCCAAAGTACCACCATTTACAAACACTCTTATCAGCTCAGCAAACTATGAATAACCAACACAAACTTCTGAAAAGATTCAAGAAACATCTTTCTTCCAGTTTTACTACTGCCATTTTATTACCACCAATTTAAAACAATAAGAGATAATTACTATAAAAGAAAGGTTTCACAATTAAGAGTGTGAAGGTACATGCTTGTAATCTTCACACTCAGAACCTGAGGCAAGAAGACCATAACTTCAGAGTTCAAACCAGTCTAGGCTACATTGTGAGCTACCTCCTGGTTCAAAAATATTGAATCAACCACAAGAAACCTCTCTTCCACACATAAACCTTTCCCCAATACATCAATGTGCAACATCACTAAAAATGACTACAATGTAGTAATACCACAGAACAACGTTCACCTCTGGAGCATACACTTTCTACATAACAGTCTGGTTGTAAATTAGTAAGAGTCCTAGAACAGGTCTGTAATCCTAGTATCAGGAGACTGAAAGTGGGAGTGAAATACCCCAAGACCAGCCTGAGCTACAAAGTGAGTTCTAAGTCTAGGTTATGGGTGGAAACACGTGGAAAGGGAGGGGGGGTAATATTCTATTGCTATGCAAACATTCTCAAGCAAAACACTCTTAAAAGACACAAAAAGTTTTTTAAGCCACCAAAAGTGTAAAAGGCAAAGCTACAGAAAGCAAATTTTCTTTAGCGACCAAGAAGTCTTCGGCTATGGGCGACAAATACACTGAAATAAAACCTCAATTCCTGGACAGCCTCCTAAAAAACTCTCTGACTGGATTAGCACAGGATTTCAAACATTTTCTGAGGAAAACCCTATGTCCAGGGATCTGTAATAGACATTAGGCAGGTGGTTGGCAGACCTCAGGCAAATTTGGTATTTGTAAAAAAATAAAATATTCTCAAAAATATGTTTCTAAGTAAACCTTTATGTTCACTCCTAGAGACTGGTTTTATAAAACAAGCAAATCACACTGTGAAGTTCATCTACTAAAGACAGAAGATGCATTCAAACTTGGTCATAAGTTACATAAACATATTTACATGAACAAAGGTAATTTCTTAACACAGTTAATCAATAGGCTCTAACTGAAGTTTAGTCTTAAGAATGCAGAAACTGTACATCTAGAACTCTCACAAATGAAAAAGTATTTCTTCTTCAAGTAATTTTACATTCAGAAAAATCCAATAATCCAATAATCCAATAGTATTAAAAGAAATATAGCTATCAAATAAATTACTTATTTTACTATTTAAAATATATTATCTTAAATATTTATAAGGTCAAAATTCAGACATGTACAGAGTGTAACTTATTTTTAAAAAACATGAGGTACAAAGTGAATATTCAATTTCTACAAAAATCTGGACCCCAAATTAAAATTGGAATCTCATACTATCTGTGCGTGTAAATATACATATAAACATTTCCAAAACCTTTCACTAACTTAAAACAAGCAATCTTGATAACTGATAGGAATAGTGATGTAGAAACATAAAGAACAAAAACTATGTGTGTCAAACAATGGGAACATTAATCTCTCAGAGCTTCCATTAGTCATGATCATCTTACTTGATTGTGATGGAGAACTGGAAACTCCTGCTTCAATTGCACCTTTAAAATGCCTAATTTTGTGTTTTTTGCTATATCCTCTCCTACAACTCTGTATGATATATACTTAGTGCTAATGAACTAAATATATTTCCCTAATTCTGAAACATCCTTTGGCATTTCTAGCAAAGTATAAGCCAATAGGAAAACAACTGTTCAAACGATGATTTCAAATTTTTAATTTTTAACGAAATGGTGACTAACATTTGCATTTAAAGCAAACTAGAAAACTGTTACATTTTTTAATTTATAAAATCATAGGAAAAGTGCTAACATATAAGCTTATCCTTATCCTAAAACATAAGCAATGATTTGTACAAAAACAATTGCTGTTAGCTAAAGGCTGGCCAACCCTACTAACTTTCCAACACTCTGTTCTCTCCCTGATATGTGCACTAATTGTCCTGAATTATCTAGAGTCAGATAACACAGTCAGCTCCGCTTAACTCTGAAGTAGGTTAGACCCATAGCAGGATCCCCAAGCCTCCAGCTCTCATTAAGAAAGCAGCAACTACAACTGGGGTAGTGGAATGTACCTACAGTTCCAACTGCTCAGAAGGCTGAATGAAGCAGGAAGACCACTTGAGCACCAAGCTCAAGGCCAATCTCAGAAACAAAGTCAGACTCCATCTCAAGAAGAAAAGAATAAAGGGAGGAAGGGAGGATGGAAGGAGTGAACATGAGACACACATGTTCTTGAGCTTGGTCCTGGGCACATCAGCTCCTGCAACTACTCACACCCTGGCTTTGGTTGCTCAGCAGCTCGAAGCATCGGTAGTGAGATACTGATATCAGTGGGGAGTCAACTCTGTCCACTCCACTGTGAGCCTTCTGTGGGCAGGACCTCTTTGTATTCATTTCTGTACAGGAACCTCACTCACTGTACAGTTCTTAATGTCAATGTGTACCTCATAAAGTGAATAGGGTGATACTGAATCTCAAAAGGCAGAAAATAAGGAGAAATGGGAAAGAGAAAGGGAGAGCTGGGGAAAGTCAGGAGAAAGCAGAACAGTGAGAAGCAGCATGAAAAAGTGTGCAAAAGTGTTCCTGCATATGCCCCTCCCACACAATTAATCTCCCATAGGTTCTGGGGCTCAACCTCTCTAATTTGTTAGTCAGCCATGAACAGCACAGTAGGCAGAGCTGCAGCAACAGGAGAGGACAGAGCCACTCAGAGCCCTACAGTACTGTTAACTTATCTTAACAGAGGTCTTTGAAGCACTGCACATTTTAGAGTTAACACGTCTAAGGGCCTCTTGTTTTATTCAGACAGCAGAACTAAAGGCAAAGAGAATACATTGAACACAATAATAAATTCAAAATAGATCAGCCTTAGAGTATATAATTTTTAATTGTTAAATATTAAGCAATTATGTTAAAATGTAAATGAAAGCTAAAATGTACCATGAGTGTATTAAAAATTAGAATAGAATTAATTGTAGGTTCACTATAAATAGAAATTGATATACACTTTTGGTTTAGTATTTAAGCTAGGAGGAAGATATCAGTGTGCCTACTAAAAAAAACTTTTAACCTAGTATATTGCCTCGACTCTATCATATACCACATACTGGTATCATGGGTAACCCCATTCAAGAAATAAATTTTTGTTCAATACATTACAAAGAAAACCACAATATTGGTCCAGCCAATAAAAATTAAGCTTTCTGATCCA